GGCATGCACCATCACACAATTCTTTATACTGCAGCTTCAAGGCAGTCCTTCACAAAACACTTATGAGTATTGAAGGCCCTTGAAAAGTGGGAGGAAAACCAGGCATAAACCTGTAATCCCAGCACCCAGGAGGCTAAAGCAAGACCACTAAGGTCAACCTGGGCTACACAGAAATTCTGAGGTCAGGTCCAGAGAGATGGCTCAGCAGTTAGGGGCACTTGGCCCTCAAGCCTGATTACCTAAATTCAATCTGAAACCCACATTGTGGAGAAGAGAATTGACTCCTGGAGGTTGTCTTCTGACCTCCACCAGCATTCCATGATACACACAGACACGGACACGGACATGGACGGACGGATGGACAGACAAACAGGCAGGCGCGCGCGCGCACACACACACACACACACACACACACACACACACACACACACACGAAATGTTAAGAAAAATAAAGGGAATGAGGCCAGGATCAGATAGCGTGCAAACTTAAAAAGCAGGTGTGGAAGAGTGGTGGGATTAGGGTTGGAGGTGGAGATTGCAGGGCTGGGGCGTAGCTCAGGGTGGAGTGCTTGTCTAGCATGTGTGAGCTCTGGGGTTTGACCCCTGGCACTCTCTAGTATATAGAGTGGATACCCCAAAGCCAACCAATCTGGCACAATGCACCTCCTACTCCGGCACAGGTAACACAGGTCAGAAATGCCAACTGGCGCGCACGCCTTTAATCCCAGCACTCGGGAGGCAGAGGCAGGCGGATCTCTGTGAGTTCGAGGCCAGCCTGGTCTACAAAGCCAGTTCCAGGACAGGCTCCAAGACAATACAGAGAAACCCTGTCTCATAAAACCAAAAAAGGTAAGAAAAGAAAAATGCCAATTGGCATACAGGATGCTGGCCGCCGGCTGGCAGTCTGATTCCCCAGAGCGGCATCCATTTTCAAAGGAAGGGCGGGAACCATGTCTCAGCTTCCTGAGAACACTGTGTCTGTCTGATGCCATCATATGGAATCGGTTCTTGCAATTCCCTGGCAAAGCAGCAAGTCACCCATACTCTCAGAGGACAGCCTGAGGAAGACCCCACGAGGCAAGGCCATGGGACAGGGTTTTCTGTGTGAGTTCCAAGAGAACAAATGCTCTGAGTAAATATGAAATAGTATTTCAGTAGGTCTAAACTTTACAAAGGGGACCTAAGGTAGTGAAGACTCAGGATAAACTTGCTATGAACTTCAGACTCTTAACGAAATGATCACCTTTTCAAAGATGAAATAGCAAAACTCCACATTCCCCAAGACCCTGGCTGAACCACAGACAAGGCCAATCTAATCCTGTAAAACATTTACTTTTGACCTAAACTACCTACCTGTCTCTTTGGTGGTTGTTGAAGTTAACTGCCTCAGTTTCCAGTGGGGCATGGTTGATGAATATTGGGGGGGGGATGTCAGAACTAAAGGAAATTTCAGGTTTTCCATATAGTTTTTTCCCCTTAATTAAAAAACAAAAAACATTTTTAAACGAGATGGGGTTTCTCTGTGTAGCCCTGCTGTCCTGAAACTTGCTCTGTAGACCAGGCTGGCTTTAAACCTGCTTGGGCCTTGCAAGTGCTGGGATTAAAGGTGTGCATGACCACCACTTGGCTTAAAAAATCATTTTACTTATGTGTGTTTGTATATAGGTTAGAGGACAACGTGGGGGATCTGGCTCTCTCCTTCCATCATGTGGGCCCCCAGGGCTGAATTCAGGCTGTCAGGCGTGGCAGCAGGTGTCTCTACTCACTGAGCCATCTTGCCAGCCCTAGATAAATCAAGTATAGCCTTGAATAATATAGCGATTTGACAGTGACAGAAATAAATGAAAAGAGCCAACTGCTGAGCAAGCAGACAACCTGACAGCAAACTCTCACGAGTCAGTGTGCAGCCGCACGTGTGCAATGCCAGTGTACTACCCTCGTGTTCTAGGATAGCCTGGGCTACTGTGCGAGGCTGTACAAAAGCAAAATGAATAAAATTTAAAAGACAACTTATATTCTTTTGTTTGTTTTTCAACACAGGGGATCTATGTATAGGTCTGGCTGTCCTGGAACTCTCTTTATCGACCGGGCTGGCCTCAATCTCACAGAGATCTGCCTGCCTCTGCCTCCCTAGTGCTGGGATTAAAGGCGTGTACCACCACTGCTCAGCTGATAGTTTACATTCTTTTTTTTTTCTGGAGACAGGGACAGAGTTTCTGTGTGGCTTTGGAGGCTGTCCTGGAACTCAATCTGTAGACCAGGCTGGTCTGGAACTCACAGAGATCTGCCTGGCTCTGCCTCCTGAGTGCTGGGATTAAAGGTGATGACTAACATTTTTACTTATTTATTATGTATACAATCTTCTGCCTGCATGCGAGCAGAGGGCATCAGAGTTCATTCAAGGTGGTTGTGAGCCACCATGTGGTTGCCAGGAATTGAACTCAGGACCTTTGGAAGAACAGTCAGTGCTCTTAACTGCTGAGCCATCTCTCCAGCTCGATAACTTACATTCTTTTTTTTTTTTTTTTTTTTTTTTTTTTGGTTTTTCGAGACAGGATTTCTCTGTGGCTTTGGAGGCTGTCCTGGAACTCGCTTGGTAGTCCAGGCTGGTCTCGAACTCACAGAGATCCGCCTGCCTCTGCCTCCCGAGTGCTGGATTTAAAGGCGTGCACCACCAACGCCCGGCTGATAACTTACATTCTTAACTCAAGTGTTGAAATTATGTCTAGAACATGGTTTCATTAGAGGCATTGGAGAATGTACCAAAAGTCCATGGTTACAGTTGCTAGAAATTGGGGCAGAGGATCCATGGCTAATTCATGATTTTAGAAATGGCGTGGTGGTGCACGCCTTTAATGTATGTATGTATGTATGTATGGTCTTGCACATGCGCAGCAAGTGCCCTACCACAAGATGCATTCTCAGTTAGGATGCTTCCAACTGACAGCCTCAAACCTCACAGCGTGAGCCCATGTATTCAAGGCCCTGCCAGAAACAAGCAAGGTCAGCTTAATAGTGAGAAAAACTTCAAAATGGAGGCAAGTTAGGATGTCAAAGGGACATATCATTGGGGATTATCTATTAGGGCCACACTTTTAGCTGGCTTTTAGAAACCTGATGAAACACTGAACACATTTCTCCAGTTTCTAATATCTTTCTTCACTTCCAGGGCCAGACAGAATGGAAGCAATTATATGGTACAATTTGTTCCTGGGAATCTGTGTGTGGAATGCTGACAGTTTTAATTTACATACTAATGTTGGGAAAACATTTTGAGAGGCAAAGTAATAGAAAGGTCTCTGTAAGAGAAAGAATACTGAGAAAACCAAAACCCAACAAACAGCAGACAGGAAGGTGGCTGACCACTGCAGTGATGGCGGATCACTTACTCTAGAGTTCCAATTGCTCATCATTCACTGCAGGAAGACGCTATATCAACGGCGGAGTTGCACAGACTTTCCCTTGGCATTCTGTCTCCAGTGAAAGGCCTAACAACCAAAGTTAACAAGCCCCAAAGCCTTGGTTTCTCCTTGAAAGTCCACCTACCTAAAATACCTGTCTCACCATTCACAAGCTCAATCAAAACGCTGACACACAAAATCTGTTTTATTGGTTTCCCTAACAGCCCATTTAGACACTCTCTCATTGGAACTTAGTTTTTTTATTTATTTATCTTTATTTTATATGCATTGGTGTTTTGCCTTCATGCATGTCTGTGTGAGGATGTCAGACCTCCTGGAACTGGAGTTACAGGCAGTTGTGAGCTGCCATGTGGGTGCAGGGGAATTGAACCCAGGACCTCTAGAAGAACAACCAGTTCTCTTAACCCCTGAGCCATCTCTCCAGCCCCCAGAACTTAGTTTTTGCTTCAGCTCTAATTCTTTGAGAAAAGAGGAAATCTATTTATTTATTTAAAGAAAGGGTCTTGTTATGTAGACCAGGCTAGCCTGGAGCTCAGAGACTTGACTGCCTTTGCTTCCCCAGTGCTATGATCAAAGGTGTGTGCTACCACACCTGGCTTGAAATTTGGATTTTCCCCAAACATCTTGACATAGAATATTCAAAGGCTAGCTGTTAGTGACAGGGCCTCCGATCTTCCAAAGATTGAAAGAGTCTGCACATATGAACAGGAGACACTCCTACTATATTGAATGACTGCACCTGCACAAAACTGACTCATGAACGTGATTTCGGGAAGCAGATGTCAAACAGTGCTAAGACGAGCAGCTTGGTGGGTTAGCGCCAACGCTAATATGCACTAAGGGCGGAAATGCACAGTAAGGTATGAGGCAAGTCTTACTAGCGCCACTGAAAAAGGTGAGGCTTGATGAGATGAAGTAACTGAGCTGGGTGTGATGGTGCACCGTGAGTTCAAGGCCAGCCGGGTCTACAAAGTCAGTTCCAGGACAGCCAGCATGGCTGCACAGAGAAACCCTGCCTTGAAAAACCAAAGTGGAAAAAGATGAAGTAACTGATGTGACCATAAGTGTCAGCGTCAGTAACAAAGGATAACTCTCAGTTAGCAGGTGGGTGTGATTAACAAGTACCTCACTATGCTGATCTGGTTGCTTGGTTTGCTTTTTGGCTTGAGACAGGGGCTTCAAGAAGCTGCGGTTTGCCTCAACTTTTCATCCCCCAGTCTCTGCCTCCCAGTACTGGGGTTGCAGGTGTATGCCACCATACCTAGCCTCCTGGTGCTGTTCTTTTTTTTTTTGGTTTTTACGAGACAGGGTTTCTCTGTATTGTTTTGGAGGCTGTCAGTCCAGCCTGGCCTCGAACTCACAGAGATCCGCCTGCCTCTGCCTCCCGAGTGCTGGGATTAAAGGCGTGTGCCAGGCTATGAGTCTCTTTCAAATGAAAAAGTACTCTTAGATTCCTTGGTTTACTGTGGGATCAGGAGACAAAGGATAACCTTGCTATAGTTTAAAAGCCAACATAACAACTCTATATCACTAGGTACTGACCCAAGGGAAACTGAAAAATAGGCATTCAGCAAGCAGTTGTGTAGAAATTCTCATAGTGGCTCTATTCACAAGAGCTGAAAGTGTGAAAGTAACTCAGTTGATCATCAAACACATGGCTAAACAAAACAGCATTTATACAGTGAAGTATTACTCAGTTACTAAAAGGAATGAAGAATTGAGGTGTGTTACAATGTGGGTTAGCCCTAAAAACATTGCATGAAGTGAGAAAGTCAGATACATAACAAGGCCACATAGGGCATCATCACACATCTGTTCAGGTGAACTATCTATCCAGAGAGTAAGTCCACGGGGCCAGGAGAGCGGATCTGTGGACGCTGGCGGGCTGGCGGGAAGGCGTTTTGGAGTGACTGCTTACTAGACAGAGGTTCCTGTGGGGGGGGGCAATGAGGGGATGACCAGGCACCAGGCTGGGAGCTGCACAGCACTGTGACTGTACAGACAGCTACTGAATCTACACAGGCAAACAGTGACTTCCGCATTCACAGGAACTTCATCTCTATGGAATGGTGGCGGCATACATCCACCGTAGGTTACAGCGGTGGGCAACCTTTCTTGGTGTGCTACACTTGAGTGAGTGATGGTCAGGAGACATCAAATGGAGACGACCCCTTGGGAAGGCACAGCAGCACTCATCCGCGTACCAGACAAGAGTTGGAGCCTAGGACTCCAACACAGGGAGGCCCCTTTTCAATTTTCCTTGGATTTACTGAGTGTGGGTGGGCGTGCGTGTGTAAGCTTGTACAAACATAGGCCATGGCACTTATGTGGAGGTCAGGAGACAACTTGTAAAAGTCAACTCTCTTCCTTCTCGAGGTGGATCTGGGGGATTAAGCTCGGGTCATTAGGCTTGGGTCGTCCTGTTGGTCCAGAGACCCACCCCTCAAAAAAATCCAAAAGACATTACAAGTTCCAAATAAGGCATTTACATAGCTGAGGCCCCTAATTTGTCCAGTTGGCAAAGCACCTAGTAGATTTTAAGTTTACAAGAAGCAGTAAAAACGTTTTAAATTTGTATAAAGGAGAGAGAGAGAGAGAGAGAGAGAGAGAGAGAGAGAGAGAGAGAGAGAGGAAGCCTGGGAAGGTTCGTGTGAGGACGTGGCTGTGCGTCTGCCCACGAATAGTCACCGCACTCAGGGAGAAACTTGATTTCTTCCTAACTTAGTTTGTTTCTCCCCAAACTGCACAGTTTATAGTAACTTACTGTTACCACCCTCAGAGTTGGCAAGAGGTCACAGCAGAGGGCCTGGGGCTGTCATTTCCTATTGCTCCCCACTGAGACAAGGCAGGAGGTTAAATTACTTCAGGAGGCTCTCAACAGGGCCTCCCATTGTTGCTTGTTAGAAACCCAGAGATACAATGGGCCCCATTCATGCTGCCCGCTCACAGGCTGGGAACAGCCCCTTAGTGTCCATCAACTCCAAGTCAGGACACTGAATTTTCATAGACGCCAACTTGCATAAATACAAGTTAATTATTTAAAAACAATACAAACGAACAACAGTACAGAATAAAGAAATAAAACCAGGAGTCAGGACACCTGAGCCACAGCCACAGCTCTGTCCCTAACGTGACTTTAGGCAGATCACATGCTCTTTCTACATCTCGGTTTCCTTGTGTGAAAATGAAAAGGTTTCTAAGATTCTATAGACACGGAGAGCTAGTGGCATCACCGTACGGGTCACCCAAGGCGTGCAGACAAGAATCAGGACAGTCGCTAGCTGACAGCTCTCACTCCTGTCAGCACTGAAACACAAGGCGTCTTATAAGAATGAGTCCAGCAGGTCCCCTGTCCCCACAAGCCCAGGGTCATTTGAGGGAGCCCCACACAGAGAAGGACGAGGACCTTCTAGGATGAAGGACCTAAGCAGAAGCCACACTGTTGTCACGTCACCTGTTCTTGGGCATTTTGAGACTCTATTTCTTTGCCCCCAAGTCCTCAGGATGAAAGCACCATGTGCAGTTAGGATGGGGCTGGTGGCACCAATCTGCCACAATGTCATTTCTTGGCCTTTTCAACCTCAAAACCTGCCAGAGCAAGGACCTTATCTCCAGAGCCTAAGAAAAAGACAGAAAATGAAAAGATTACTTCAAAGCATTTACAGTCCCAGGTAATGAGGGGACATACCACATAGCTACAGAAATCAGACGCAGTAACCCCTACACGGCAGGCTGCCATCTGGATCCCCTTCCCTCTACATAACAATGCGGCCAGAAGAATGGCTTACCAGTGAGGAGCCCAACTCAGCTCTAGAGTTGAAGGCAAATATGTAAAATTCTTACTTACTTTTACACTAACATGTTGTTGAAGGATCTTTTTTGTTTTTGTTTTTGTTTTTGTTTTTGAGACAGGGTTTCTCTGTGGCTTTGGAGGCTGTCCTGGAACTCGATTGGTAGTCCAGGCTGGTCTCAAACTCACAGAGATCCGCCTGCCTCTGCCTCCCGAGTGCTGGGATTAAAGGCGTGCGCCACCAACGCCCGGCTGTTGAAGGATCTTATAAGTTGGATGCAAAGCTGAGGGTGCTGAGGCTGAGGTCCTAGCTCAGTGGTTAAGAGTACTTCCTAGAGGATGCAGGTCCTAGCTCAGTGGTTAAGAGTACTTCCTAGAGGATGCAGGTCCTAGCTCAGTGGTTAAGAGTACTTCCTAGAGGATGCAGGTCCTAGCTCAGTGGTTAAGAGTACTTCCTAGAGGATGCAGGTCCTAGCTCAGTGGTTAAGAGTACTTCCTAGAGGATGCAGGTCTGGTTCCCATCGCACACACCAGTTCACAACTGTAATCCAGTTGCAGGGGACCCAACACCCTCTTATGGACTCCCATATACACATAAGTGAAACACTCATACATGTAAATATTTAAAATAGATGATCCCCCCCCCACACACCCCCCAGTCTCCCTGATTCTGAAAAAAGGTAAGATGGCTCAGTGGTAAAGGCACCTGCCCTCATACTTGATAACCTAGGATTAATCCTAGGACCCACGGTAGAAGAGAAGCAATTCCTGCAAGCTGTTCTGGGACCTGCACACCTGTACCGCCTGTCTCTGCCTCCTGAGTGCTGGGATTAATGCGCCACCACCACCTGACTTAAAAAAAGTAATTTAAATGCATGGAATTTTTGGTTTTTATGAGACAGGGTTTCTCTGTATTGTTTTGGAGGCTGCCGGTCCAGCCCGGCCTCGAACTCACAGAGATCCGCCTGCCTCTGCCTCCCGAGTGCTGGGACTAAAGGCGTGCACCACCACCGCCCAGCAAATACATGTAATTTTTAAAAATGTGTTTCTGGCCGTGCGTTGGTGGCACACGCCTTTAGTCCCAGCACTCGGGAGGCAGAGGCAGGCGGATCTCTGTGAGTTCGAGGACAGCCTGGTCTACAGAGCGAGTTCCAGGACAGCCTCCAAAACAATACAGAGAAACCCTGTCTCAAAAACCAAAAAAAAAAAAAATTGTGTCACTGTGAACTCAAGGAGAGGTCATTATTGTCTCAGGCGTGCTCTCAGTCAGTCTCGAGCCGTAGTACAAACCCAGGTTCCAAGAACAAGACTGGGCTTGATCACAGCATCACAAAAAAAAAAAAAAGGTAAAGACCCTTTTACTCTCGGGAGTTCATTTACTTTTCCATAATAATCTATGTTTACTCAGAGAAAAAGAAAAACAGAAGAGAAGGAGTGAAATCAAGCAAGAGGAGCAGAGGGGAGGGGAGGGAGGGGAGAGGAGGGGAGGGGAGGGACGATGGAGGCACTCACTCACCAAGGTCTGTGGAGACTTTCTCAAACTGGCTGAGCGCTGCACCTGCATTGGCTGACAGGAAGGCCTCATCATCTTCTGTCAGCTACAAGGTGAGACAAAGTACACTGAGTGAGTGCCGCTGTTAGAGCAAGTCCTAGAGCCACAGTGAGGAAGTCTCGGGGGCTGGATAAGGCCCAGCAGTTAAGAGCACTTCCTGTTCTTGCAGAGGAGCCTGGTTCCTTTCCAGCACCCACACGGCAGCTCACAGTCATCCAAAACTCCAGTTCCAGGGGATCCAATGCTGTCCTCTGACATCTGTAGACACCAGGTACCCATGTAAATAGTACACACACAAACGAGCAGACAAAACATTCACACACATAAAATAAACCTAAAAACACTGCTTTGATTTCTTAGGTCTCTAGACTACAACCAGGGCAGCACGTTCCGGAAAAAGTACAACACGAATGTTCTACCAGCGTATCCCATCAAGTGCCAGGACCTTCTCTCCAAGCTTCCTGAGCGCGGTGAGGATCTCCACCTTCTGTCGCGTGTACAGGTCTCTTCCCAGCTTCCCCACCATCAGATCTCTATCCATCTGCAAAGCACAAATGCAAGGCATGTGCACAGGAGCCAAAGCCGTTCTGTGCAGAAAGCCCCGCTTTTCAGTCCACTTCTTAAAGCACAGCTACTTGTTAACATAAAAACTAGAGAGGCCGGCGGTGGTGGCGCACGCCTTTAGTCCCAGCACTCGGGAGGCAGAGGCAAGTGGATCTCTGTGATTTCGAGGCCAGCCTGCTCTACAGAGCGAGTTCCAGGACAGCCTCCAAAGCCACAGAGAAACCCTGTCTTGAAAAACCAAAAAAACCAAAAAAACAAAAAAACTAGAGAAATAGTCTGAAACATCACACAAAAGTGCCATCAGGCAAGTTTAAAAAAAAAAAAAACACCTTCATTGTTTATTAGTGTGTGTGCATGTGTGAGCTTGTGTGCTTGTATATGTGCGCGTGTGCGTGCGTGCGTGCGTGCGTGCCTGGGCCTTTGTGTGACGTCCGAGGACAAGTTGTGGCACTTAGTTCTCTCCTGCCATGTGGCTCTGGGGAGGGAAATCAAACTCAGGAAATTGAAATCTAAAGTGCTGATCTATCTTGCGGGCCTGCAAGTTTGTACACCCCATGTTTGTTGTTTCTTGAAACAAACTCTCTATGTAGTTCAGACTGACTTCAAAGCATGGGGGTAACTCTCCTGCCTCAGACTCCCGAATGCTAAGGCTACAGGCATGGGCCACCACCTCAGACCAGTTTTGAGTGCACGTGCATGTGTGTGTGCATGTGTGTTGGGGTGTGTGCATTCCACGGTGCACATGTGACACTCAGAGGACAACTCTGTGGCTTCTGTTCCCATCTTCCACCTTGCCATGGGCTCCAGGAACCCAGCATGCACTGCGTCACCCTGTGGCCCCTCAACCTGAGTCCATAGCATAAACCACTGTGAAGTTGTAAACACTGAGGCCACAGCTTCCACTGGGGGAGGAAAAAACCTGTTTCCTGAAAACTTTACTTTTGTGGAGACAGGATTGTTTTCTTTACCTTTTCTTTTTAAACTTTATATGTTAATGCGTATTGTATGCATGTAAGCAGGCATGCCATAGCATGCACACAGAGGTCAGAGGACATGGAATTTATTTTCTCATTCGACATTTACATTTATTTACATGGGTTCCAGGGATTGCACTCAGGTCTTCAGGTGTTTTTTTTTTTTTTTTTTTTTTTTGGCTTATTGAGGCAGGGTTTCTCTGTGGCTTTAGAGGCCGTCCTGGAACTCACTCTTGTAGACCAGGCTGGTCTCGAACTCACAGAGATCCACTTGCCTCTGCCTCCCGAGTACTGGGATTAAAGGCTTTTTAAAAATTTTTATTCATTTCAATTACATTTATTGATTTGTTTTGTGTTTACAGTGCATGTGTGGAGCTCAGAGGACAATTTTCAGGAGTCAGTCCTCCCCCTCCACCATGTGTGCCCAAGCATGGAACACACATGTCAGGCTTGCTGGCAAGCGCCTTCACCCGAAGCACCACCACATCGGTCCTTCCTATTTACTTATTTGTTTGTTTGTTTGTCTATTTGCTTGCTTTTCGAGACAGGGTTTCTCTGTGTAGCCCTGGCTGTCGGCCAGGTTGTCCTAGAACTCACAAAGATCCGCCTGCCTCTGCCTCCTGAGTGCTGGGATTACAGGTGGACACTGCCACCACCTGGCCCCTCTTATTTGGTTTTGAGACAGGGTCTCTTATGTTGTCCAGGCTGGCCTCAAATGATCCTTCTTCCTCTGGCTCCCGAACAGCTGGGACTGCAGCCAGCTTCCAAGCGTCATCAAACCCACATGACAACCACAAGTAGAAGCTGTCATAAGCACCTTCTTACAGATAAGAAAACCAAGGTACAAGGTACGGGGTGACTACGACAACTTGCCAAAGGTCATGTGCCCCACCCCGTATGCACAGCAGAAACTTAAACCCAATCTATCTCATCTGTTTTTCTTTCTGTAACTTATTTATTCTTATTTTGTGTGCATTGGTGTTTTGCCTGCATGTATGTCTATGTGAGGGTGTTAAGTACCCTGGACTAGAGTTACTGAGGACTGTGAGCTGCCACAGGAATGCTGGGAATTGAACCTGGGTCCTCTGGAAGAGCCGTCAGAGCTCTTAACCATTGCTCCAGCTCTGCAACGGATCTCACCTTAATCTATGATTTTTCCTCGTGTGTGCATGTGCTCCTAAGTGTATACAAGTGTGTTTGGGTGAGGCCAGAGCTCCATGGTAGGGGCTCTCACTGGCAAGGGCCCCAGGAACTGTGTGGTCTCTGTGTCCCCAGAGCCAGGACCACAGTTGTGAGCTGCTCACAGGGCACTCTACACCTGAACCATATCCGCATTCCCTGAAGTTACGCTCTTACTCTTCCACTGAATTACTTGTAGACGGAAATTACCTGTTAGCTCATAATTATATCCAAGTCCACAGACAGATCTCTGGAGTAACAAGTTTATAAAGATGCCTGACAGCAAATCAAAACAGGGGGCAAAAAAAGAAGAAAGAAAAAGAACAGGCAGTGGTGGCACACACCTTCAATCCCAGCACTTAGAAGGCAGAGGCAGGGGGATCTCTGTGAGTTCTAGGACAACCTGGCCGACAGCCAGGACTACACAGAGAAATCCTGTCTGGAAAAACAAAGCACAAAACAAGCAAAACAAAACAAAACAAAAAAGACATTTAACAAGCAGGGGAAACGGCTCAGTGGCTAAGAACTGTGTACTGTTCTTTCAGAGGACTCAAGTTAAGTTCCCAGCACCCACCCTGGGCAGCTCATAGCCACCTGTGACTTCAGCTACAGGGCATTTGACACTTCTGTGGGCACCTGCACACGTGTGCACACATGCACTGAAGTGCACACACATCATTTTAAGCAATAGATAAGGCTGGGCGTTGGTGGCGCACGCCTTTAATCCCAGCACTCGGGAGGCAGAGGCAGGCGGATCTCTGTGAATTCGAGGCCAGCCTGGTCTACAGAGCTAGTTCCAGGACAGCCTCCAAAGCTACAGAGAAATCCTGTCTCGAAAAACCAAAAAAATAAAATAGACAAATCTGAAAAAAAAAAAAAAAAGATTAAGTGTACATACACAGAAACAACGTTGGTGATAAATTCCAAATAGGATCCCAAGTTAGGGCTCCAGATGTAAAGGACAAAATATTAAAGGTAGAGGTCAAGCAGAAGTGGCTGGAGGTGATTTAAATGGCCACATACTGTTCACGAATTCATTTATTATGAATTGTAATTGCCCAAGGTACAAGCTGTCAGAAAATTGAGGGCTGTGGCTCTAACACCAACTGAGCAATTTTAAACAGTATAATTTAGGCTAGTATGATAAGTACAGTCACGGGCTAGGAAGAAAACCACGGCAACTGGATCAGAATGAAGAAACTTTACCTCTGCTAACCTTGTCCGAAGTTGACCTGGTTGTTTCTTTGCAAACAATCTGATGACTTCAGGGGTTTTAAAGGCCTGGCTGATAGCTGCCTGAATAGCCTGGAAACAGAGAAATGCAAAAAGTAACCAAAATATTCCACACAATTACATCTGCAATATTGGACTGATGAGTAACAACTAATAGGTTTTAGTGCCTGAAATCGGTTTTCATTCGCCATTTCTGAGCGTGTTACTGGAGCCACATAGACACAAAATCAAGAGGCTATGTCATAAACCCAGTGCTTTTTCTTTCATTTACTCCTTACTTTTTATTTTGAGGTGTTAGGATATGATCTAGGGTCTTGTACATGCCGCGTAAGTACACTACCACAGAGCTACATCCTCCGCCTTCAACGTGGCCATTTTCTATCTGACATACACTCACAAAACAAAAGCAAAGCATGCATAAGAGAATCAATCAGTGAATTCCTCTTACCAGCTGCATGCCACTGAGCTCATCCACCAAAGTCATATTTCCTGACATGATTTTCTTCAGGGAGTCGTTGAACTCGCTCAGCTGCTCCAAAGTTTCCTTTTTAGTTTCTTCATATTCATCAGCGTCGAGCTCCTCTCTGCAGCACAGGTCACATCAGAGTGCAGAATAACAGGCAAGTCTAAGTCTGAAAATCTCAGGACCAGATCTACAGCAAGGCTGAAGGGGACTGCAGCTGTAGGGGCACACATGTCTGCAGAGTTCGGCGACTGAGCCGGGCGTTGGTGGCGCACGCCTTTAGTCCCAGCACTCGGGAGGCAGAGGCAGGCGCATCTCTGTGAGTTCGAGGCCAGTCTGGTCTACAAGTGCTAGTTCCAGGACAGCCTCAAAAGCCACAGAGAAACCCTGTCTCGAAAAACCAAAAAAAAAAAAAAAAACAGACAAAGAGTTCGGCGACTGGCATCTTCATCCACTTTCCATGTGGCTAAACCCAGGGCCGGGAGCATGCTATCTCCCCTCGCCCCAAACAATTTCTCCCACTATGAGGCGCACTGCAGGCACACATTAACTTCTCTGGCAAGGCGTGAACAGAGGCAAACCTCAGTTTGCCTGCACAACTTCAGATAACTATAGGGGCCTTACAGTCACATTAAGGAGTTGTTGCTAGCGTCAGTCCCCTCAACCGCAGGAAGCACCCTGTGCACCCCAGGGGCGAGCAGCATGGTGCACCTGCCATCTGAATAAAAGGTATTTTTATTCGCCAAACAAGCCGCTCATTAAATACTGACTACAAGTAACAACAGCTCTACCACCATAAATGGTGCACTACCATTTATGGAACACTTACTCTAGGTCAAACACTGTATTGTGTCTCTTTCATTTTTTATATTTACAACTTCCTTGTGAGGCTATTAAAAACTACAACTAAGCTGGGCGTTGGTGGCACACGCCTTTAATCCCAGCACTCGGGAGGCAGAGGCAGGCGGATCTCTGTGAGTTCAAGATCAGCCTGGTCTACAGAGAGGGTTCCAGGACAGGTTCCAAAACAATACAGAGAAAACCTGTCTCGAAAGCCAAAAAAACAAAACAAAACAACAACAACAACAAAAAGTTATTAAAAACTACAATTAACTGTTTGTTTTCTTCTGTTTTATTGAATCAGGTCTCATATAGTCGAGCTGGCCTGGAACTCACCACGAAGTCAAGAAGGACATTAAGCCTCTGATTCTCCTGCATTCACCTCCTGGAGTACAGGAACGTGCCACTGGCCTCCCTTCCCTCTTCTTCCACGCTGGGGGGGACAGAGTCCAGAGCCTCCAGCATAATGGGCACCCACCCATCCACAGAGCCATCCCTCCGCCCAATCATAGTATTATTCTGAGCAATTAGCCAGGAGTTTGCTCTACACAGAGCTGTTTTAAATACCAAAGACAGAGTAAACATTGTTATTTCCAGGAGCTTAAGCATTTTTAAGCCTTCCATATCCCAGTCTTTTATGACTCCCAAGTCTGAGAAGTTTACTTCTCCAGCAGGCAAAGTGCTGTGAAATACTATGTAGGAGACCAAAGTCACACACATGGGCCGGCAGCCATGCGGCTTGAACCCTCTCCATCAGAGACAGAGTAGCAACATGCACTTGTACTATTACCTGCATTCCTCCAGATCTTGTAATTGCTGCATCAGTCTATCCAACTGCTCTTCTAAATTCTGCTTTAATTTGCTTGTCTCTGTCTTTCCTCTGGAAGCCATTCTAATCGCTGTAACGAAGAACAAACCCACATGTAATACACTGCATCTAGTGACTTAAAAAGACTGAGCCGGGCGTTGGTGGCGCACGCCTTTAGTCCCAGCACTCGGGAGGCAGAGGCAGGCGGATCTCTGTGAGTTCCAGGCCAGCCTGGTCTACAGAGCGAGTTCCAGGACAGCCTCCAAAGCCACAGAGAAACCCTGTCTCGAAAAACCAAAAAAAAAAAAAAAAAAAAAAAAAAAGATTGAACATACCAGTGCAATTCAAGGTCAAGAGAATATAAAATAATGCGCAGTGGTGGCAGCACAGGCCTTTAATCCCAGCACTTGGGAGGCCCAGGCAGGCGGAACTCTAAGTCTGAGGCCAGCATGGTCTACAGAATGAACTCCAGGCCAGCCAGAGCCATGCACAGAAACCCTGTCTCCAAAAACCAAAACAAAACTGAAAAAGGACGATATTACTTCTAGGGTGACAGGCATATGCCAACATGCCTAGCCTTTTTCTTTCCTTTCTTTTTTGAACAAGAGATTGAATCCCGGGCCTCATTTGTGCCTAGGTAAGCACTCTACCAATAAGATAAATCCCTTGCCCAATAAGTTATCACTGTTTAATAGAAAAATCTATTTATCTCCTTTTGGGGGGAATGGGAAGAACTAGCGGGCTAGATATGCACTCATCAGCAGGCCACACCCCCAAGCCTCAATACAGTCTCGGGAAGCAAAGTTATTCTGAACAAACTTCAGGGAATAGAGGCTTTTTTTTTTTTTTTTTTTTTTTTAGCTTTAACCACACGCTACACATTTAGACCAGAAAGATTTAACTCACTGGCACCACCTAGTATTGAAGAGGTGCATTTTCCTCAAAACTGTAGAAACGGCTCTCAAATACTGTCAACCCGGCGTGGAAGGTATTCATTCACGCTTCCCGGGCTTCTCAAACTGCACAAACCTCCAGCTTTGGAAGCCTTGAGTGTCATCAACTTGAGGAAAGCATTAATTAATTGTTCATAGGGTTTACAGGAGGCTCGAACTTCACACCTCCTAGGGGTGGAGTTGGCTAGACCAAGGGAAACTATTAAGTAGTTTTATTTGCTATGTATGAACTTGGCCTACGGCCGTCCTAACTTAAGCCTGTAACTGAAACACACTCTCCACTCCTAGGAAGATGCAAACGAGGTCATTTAATTCCTGGCCTGTGCCTCCCGTAGCTTTCACTGAGGTTTCCTCTGGTGAGGCCACAGCACCCAGGAAGCGCCCAGAGGAAAACTGTCAAAGCCAGAAGTACAAAAGGCAGGGGGCAGAAACCACACCTTCTCGGGGCCGGAAGTGAGCAGCGCTGGACCCAGGAACCCCGGGGACAGGATTAAGGAAAAGCGGCAGCCTCGGCCGCCAATTTCCCCCTCGTAGAAGAACTCGAAGCTCCGGTCCGCAGATCCCGCCGAGGCCGGGGGTCACCTGCTGTGGCGTGGAGTCCGACGCCTCTCCGCGATTGATCAGGAACCGGACAACCTTCTCCTGCACTGGCGATGCCCGCCCGCCCGCCGCCGGCTAAAGGATCCCAGTGTTTGGAATCAAGGGCCCCGCCCCTGACGGCCCCGGCCGGGCGAGCCACTCCGGAGGAGCACTTCCGCTGGGTGCGCGCACTTCCGGCTGCGTGGAACCAATGAAAGCGCCGCCGCGGTGTCCCCTACACTGGTTTCCGGGCCGCGGTTGTCTGCTGAAGGACTGGGTCCGTTTGGCCTTCAGGGCCTGGTAAGCACCCCGGGGACACACGGTCCTAGGATACCCGGCTTTGGGTCGTCAGTCCAGGGCCCCTTCTTGTGCCAAGCAAGGGGGAATGCGCAGTGGCTGGGCCTTTAGAGTCCTTTGTAACGGTCCCTGGGGCCAGGTCTTCAGTCAGCGCTTGTCCTTTGGTTCTCGCTCGGAACCAAAAAGTTGGTAAATTTCCCTGTGACCTTGGTCCAGGTTAATTCACGCTTTGGGGTGGCTTGGGGTTCCTGAGAGCTGGCACCCATGCTCTTAGAGGGACGTGGGTGCGAGGCAATGGGGGAAAAGGAGGGCTTCGTGAAGAACTTCCCCTTTCCTCCTAAGTTCTTTCCAAATCTGGGAAAGAGCAAATCACTTTCCTGAAAGCACTTTGAGAACTAGGAAAATATCTGCTGAATGGACTTTAAGTGTTACCCGGGAACTGAGTGGAGAAACTTTGTGGGTGATTCCATCTTCCTGAAGAGGCAATAATACAGTGAGCCACAGGCTATCGTGGTGACCTTTGTCCAAAGGCTGTATCGACGTTTGCATTTCATTCCATCAGTACAGACTTCAGACTTGAATTATCATAGCGCTCTACGGGGTGTGTTCTTGCAGCCACTTTGCCTCGGGTTTTTTTGGTGTTGTTTTTCCAGCCTCACTTTGGAGACGGAAACGGCGTCTCTAGCCAACTATTCAGCCTGCTTTACAAAAGTGCTTCTGAGTCAAGAGGGGGCCTCTTGTGTTGATGGAGTCTTTAAATTTTCGATATGTGAATGTGTATCAACTATTTCTTTTTGTTTGTTTGTTTTTCGAGACAGGCTTCTCTGTGTAGCTTTGGAGACTTTCCTGGCACCTATTCTGTAGACCAGGCTGGCCTCGAACTCACAGAGATCCGCCTGCCTCTGCCTCCCGAATGCTGGGATTAAAGGCATACACCACCAACGCCCGGCTGAAAGAGACAGTTTTACTTAGCTCTGGGTAGTAGGTTATGAATTAGAGCTTGGAATCATGTCCCATGTTAGTTGACTTGTCCTTCCTTGTCAGTGACAAAGTTAATGCCAAACGAACAAGAAACTGGAGTACCCGGACAGCCAGGACTTCGAAGCAAGGCTGTGTCTCACACAGCAAGAAAAAGGGTGAGCCTAGAGACGACACAACCGTTTGAAGGATTTGCTGAATGGACACTTGTTATTGTGCACTTTTGTTATTCTGGTTGTTTACTTCTGAGACACAGTCTCACTGCCTGGAACTCTGTGTAGACCAGGCTAGCCCTGAACTCCCTGGAGTCCTCCTGCCTGTGCTCCCCTGACACTGAGATTAAAAGAGTGTGTACCTGTAGATGATGGTACGGTGCTCCTTTGAGTCATTGTTGCTGGCTTTAGTGTGTCATGCCACCTTAGCTGTGGAGGAGAGGCCCCGCCTTCCGTGCATTGCATTTGCTTCCTCTTGGTGGGTGATAGTCTGGTTCTGCAGTTCTGGGCATGAGTCAGGAGGCGGAGCGGAAGGAGGAATTATGCATTAGAAGTCATTGTGAAAGGCAGAACTGAGGAAAGTCACTTCAGAAGTGGGAATCCTAGCTGAGAAGTGAAATAAATGCAGGGCGACAGGAGTTTAGGGGACTTTGGCTTGGACTTACTTAGTATGGAGCAGAGATAATCACTTAGGGACATGCTGGGCCAGGTGGAACCTGAGTGCTGGGAGGGACCTCAAGCCAAAGGCTTTCTGGACATTTGGGCCACCTTTATTATTTGTTTATGTGGTGTTGTGGACTGAACCAAGAGCCCCACACCCAAGCCTAATGTTCTACACCTCATGCTCATGTTGGACTTAATTATTTCATTAATTTTTGAGACAGTCTCCATGTACCTTCCCTTGGCCTAAAACTCAACATGTAATGACTTTGAACTCTTGATTCTTCTGTTTCTACCGCCCAAGGGTTACTACCCATCCTATTTGTGCAGTGCTGGGGGTTGAACCCAGAGCCTCCTTCATGCTAGGCAAGTCCTGTATATCCCTAGTTCTGGGCGTCTTTTCTATGTCCACCGACAGATAGCTTGTACCGTTGTGTCTTTCGTAATGGGTAAGAGCTTCGATTTTTAGAATTAACTGTGTTGCTCCAGTTGTCAGACACTGAGCAAGTTAACCAACTTCTCTGGGACCCACTCGTAAGGTGGTGTGTTTGGTGATCTCATTGTGTTGTCAGGGTTCCGTGAGTGCAGTGGAGATGCTTGCCATGTAGGAACACATCAGCGGATGTTACTATTGTTATTATTGTGTTCATCGTCACTATTACAGTAATATAAGCCTAATTGGAACAGACACATTTAAGGAGAATGTGTAGCTGTATTGTCACTCAAAGAGAGGCACAAGAAAGAGAGTGGGGGTGCCATAAGCAGGGATCCATTGCCTAAGACTTGCAACTCAGCCGGGCACTGGTGGCGCACGCCTTTAGTCCCAGCACTCAGGAGGCAGGGGCAGGTGGATCTCTGTGAGTTCGAGGCCAGCCCGGTCTACAGAGTGAGTTCCAGGACAGCAGGGCTATATAGTAAAACCCTGTATACAAAAATAAACACAAGACTTGAACTTTTAAAAGAGACTTAAAACTTTGAAAGTATTTAAATTTTTAAAAGACTGAAAACTTTGAAGGTTGGCTTATCCTTTGTTTTATAATATCAACATGAGACTTTGGGGACAAGAAATTGAAAGGTTATTATAGTTTAAAATAATGTGTTTGTGTATCAAGTTGAAAAGGGCTGGAAAGATGGTTCAGTGGTTAGGAACACTGGCTGCTCTTCCAGAGTTCAATTCCCAGCCACCACACTCGCAACCATCCGTAATGTGATCTGGTGCCCTCTTCTGGCTTGCAGCGATACATGCAGACACAACACTGTATACCTAATAAAAAGAAACTGGGTAAAAGTTCATAGTCAGCTATGCCATTAACTGCCATAGCCTAGAGTCATCCTGAAAGGAACAACTTGATTGAAGAATTGTATTGGCCTGTGGGTGTGTCTATGGGTGTGTCTGTGGGGGGCTGTCCTTTCTGATAGAGGAGGGCCCAGCCCACTGGGCAACACAACTCCCACAGGTGGTCCTGTGTGTATAAGGAAGCGCCAGCTTGGCAAGAGCACAAAGACAGCACAAAGCGTTCCTCAGTAATTTTTGCCATGGTTAATCCAGCACACGGCATCCCTCAGTAATTTCTGCTTCAGGTTCTTGCTTGAGCTCGTGCTGCAACTTCCTTCACTGACCTGGAAATAGAAGGCAAATAAACTCTTCCTCCTCAAGTTGCTTTTGGTGGAAGTTTTTTGTAACAGCAACAGAATGAAACTCAGACAATTGGCTATAAAATCATCGGCTATACTGATATGAAAGATAGTTGTAATCCACAAACAGGGCCTCCTTATCCAAAAACTCCCACGGTGTAAAGCGTCAGTAAATTGATCTTGTGGAACGAACGAGTTGCTGTGTCCTTGTGAAGCTTCACTCTGCTGGTTTCTGAGGTCAGTGGCTTCCCTCCTTTTATCCTCCTTCCTTTCTGCAGCTGTCGTCAGCACAGACCCTAACTTCTCGAGATAGGAGAGTGAGGTTTCTAGGAAGCCAGCGCGGCAATCTTGAGAGTTGTGTAACCCGCCGCTCCTCCTTTGGATAGGTTTGTTGGTGATGGCAATCCTGAGCTGTCACTTGACCAATCCATCTCCCGCTTCTTCAGCCCTCACTCATGTTTAAAGGCAACTTTCTTCCACGATGGCTGGTCTTGACATGCTTCCTTTGTGGCCCTGGTATGCAGCTGACGGTTCCTGTAGAAATGGCAGCTAGGAGACAGTCTTGTGAGATGCTTGACAGTAAGTGGCGGTGCTGTTGGGCAGGCACAGTTTCTGACCCAGGCATGTAACTGAGGCAGGAGACCAGCAGGACCCATGGGCTAGCCTCACACTGTTGGCTTAGCACCTGGCCTTGGACAGGTCACTTTGGACAGGCAGATGAGCCCCATGCCAGAGAAAAGCACTGCGGGACAAAGCACAGGATCTAATTAAAGTGAAGCAGAGCTTGGGAGGATGCTTTAAAAAAAAAAAAGCAATTCCTGCAGGGCAGTGGTGGTGCATGCCTCTAATCCCAGCACTAGGAAGGCAGAGGCAGGTGGATCTCTGTGAGTTCGAGACTAGCCTGATCTACAAGAGCTGGTTCCAGGACAGCCTCCAAAGCCACAGAGAAACCCTATCTGGAAAACAAACAAAAACCCAATTCCTTCTCAGGAAGCTTCTTTCGCACTGGTATCAATGATTGCTGACTCACAATTGAAAATAAAAGACACAGAAGGCTTCGATGACAAGCTCTCCTCCCCATCCTCCCATCTCTACCCCACCCCAAAGAAGCCTAGACAGGAAGCCACTGAAGAAAACCCTTAAGGATTGTGGGAGGGATGCTGAAATGTAGCTCCCCACAGTTGATGGCTTCTGGCAGGGTTAGGGTGGGGAGGGACTGCTTTCTTTAAGGGGCTGGCCACTGGGAGTTCGACCATGCTCCATGAGTATTAGGGCAATGCAAATTGGAGTTGGTATTTTTTTTCCGTTTTGGGGGGAGGTCACAAGAGTGGGAGAGTGGCCGGGCGTTAGTGGCGCACGCCTTTAATCCCAGCACTCGGGAGGCAGAGGCAGGCGGATCTCTGTGAGTTCGAGGCCAGCCTGGTCAACAGAGCGAGTGCCAGGACAGCCTCCAAAGCCACAGAGAAACCCTGTCTCGAAAAAACCAAAAAAAAAAAAAGAGTGGGAGAGTGGACCTGGGAGGAGGGGAAAGTGAATGTGTGCTGGGGTATATTATGTGAAATTCAAAAATAATAAAAATATTATACTGGAACAATTCCTTCAAAAGTTCATTCACATGGGGCCACATAAATAAAATCCTTGTTGGTCATATTCTCAACAGTATCTTCTTGTCCCCTCCCTCTTATCAAACCCCTCCTTCCCATCAAGTCCCCCCACCTCCACATCTCCTTTTGTTTTTGATGGCCCAGAGGATTTAATTAAGGTTCCTACATGACTTTGTGTGTGTGCTGTGGTGTGTGTCTGTGTGTAACTGTGTGTAACTGTGTGTGTGTGTGTGTGTGTGTGGTGGAGATCAAGAACAACTTACCGGTGGGTACACCAGTAAGGAATCTTGACTCCCTCTCCACCAGCAACCATTAACTGCCTATAGCTCCCCAGGAATGGGTGGGGCCTTATGGGCCCCTCCTCTGCCCATGATGATGGACTGTTGAGAAACCCAAGTCTGTGCAGCTCATCACTGCTGCTGTGAAAAGATCTAACTTTGAGACAGGGTTTCTCTATTGTATAGTTCCTAGAACTCACTATTAGACCAGGCTAACCCCAGACTCACAAAGATCCACCTGCCCTGCTTTGTGAGTGCAGAGTCTCATGTATTTCAAGTGGGCCAGGAACTGGTTGAGCTATTGATTCTCCTGCTGCCCCCGCTGTAGTACCTGTATGCCACCTCCTGGGCATAGGCAGTGCTAGTGGCTGAGCTCAGGGTCTCTGCTGTGCTGGGGCCAGCACTCTCCCCACTGAGCTCCATCCCCAAATGCTTCCTCTCCAATCCCAAGCCTCCCATTCCATTTTACTCTGTTGTCTCAGCATTCTGCTGGAGGAGGAGCCAGGGCTGCCTACTGCATAGTGATCTCAGTTAATCGATGTCTTCTTCTGAGGGGTCTGTAATCTAACCCGGATGGGAACTAGGGAAGTGTTTTTACTTACCCGTGGATACCAGACTGCCCACTGACAACAGCACAGATAAATAGTACAGTTCAGGGGTGGTTTTCTCCTGTATGAGAAGCAAAAAGCACCATCAGGCATACCTTCGTTGTTTAGCCAGTGGGGTTTGGTTTGAGTTTTGTTTGGCTTTTTGTTGTTGTTTGTTTTTCAAGACAGGGTATCACTATGTAGCTCTGTCTGTCCTGAAACTCACTCTGTACACCAGGCTGAACAAAAACTAGCAGAGATTGCCATGTACCACCACCGCCCTGCTTTGTTTGGGTTTTGATACAGTGTTTCTGTGTAACCCCTGCTGACCCAGAACTTGCAATCCTGATACTTCTGCCTCCCAAATTCTACAGTCATGGGCACATGTGCTACAGTAGTCTTGTAACATTTATTGGTCTTTATTTTTTGTTTTGCTTTCTTTTTCTAAACAGGGTTTCTTTGTTTTGCTTTGGAGCCTGTCCTAGAACTTGCTCTGTAGATCAGGCTAGCCTCAAACTCACAGAGATCTGCCTGTCTCTGCCTCCTGAGTGCTGGGATTAAAGGCATGAACCACCAATGCCAGGCAACATTTATTGTCTTTGACATTTACCAAAATATGTTTTTAGGGCCATCAAGATGGCTTAATGGGTGTGGTAGTTTGAATGTAATTGGTCCCCAAATCTCATAGGGAGTGGAACTATTAGGAAGTGTGTCATTGTTGGATTGGGCATGGCCCTGTTAGAGGAAGTGTGTCTCTGTAGGGGCGGGCTTTGAGGTTTTTCTATGCTCAGGATACCACCCAGTGTCTCAGTCAACTTCCTGTTGCCTACAGGATACAGGACTTCAGCTCCTCCTCCAGCACCATGTCTGCCTGCACACTGCCATGTTCCCCGCCGTGATGATAATGGACTGAACTGAAACTAAGCGACCACCCCAATTAAATGTTCCCTTAGTATAAGACATGCCGTGGTCATGGTGTCTCTTGCCAGCAATAGAAAATCCAGCTAAGACGAAGGGTGAAGGTTCTTGCTGCCAAGCCTGATGACCCAAGTTCAATACTGCTTGGTGGAAGGGGAGCATGAACTCCACAGAGCTGTCCTCTGACCTCTACATGCTTGCCATGGCATATGTTTCCAAATACACTTCACAAACACACAATAGTGATATACTTTCTAGAAATCTTTAGAAGATAAAATTCTACTAAAGTAGAATTCATCCACAATAAGGAAAATCTCAGGCTGAGTGTGGTGATGCACGCCTTTCATCCCAGTACTCTGGAGGCAGAGGTAGGTATATCTCTGAGTTCTAGTCCAGCCAAGGCTACAAAGAGAGACTCTGTCTCAAAAAACAAGCAACAACAAACAAAGCAGCAACAGCAAGACCACCATCGTCACCGACAACAACCTGCATGTCGTGTGGGATGATTTTAGGAACGTGCTGGCATGGAACCCAGGTCTCATACATGCTAAGCATGTTCTCCACCAATGAGCTACACCCATGCTCTTTTAAAATATAGTTCCTTGCCGGCGGTGGTGGCGCACGCCTTTAATCCCAGCACTCGGGAGGCAGAGGCAGGCAGATCTCTGAGTTTGAGGCTGGGCTGGTCCGAGAAACCCTGTCTCGTAAAACCAATATATTTATTTCCTTTTCGTGTGTGCATCTATGTGCAGTTAATGTGTGCATGAGGGTGTACGTCATGCAGAGGCAGGAGGACAACCTCAGGTGCTGTCCGCGGGACTGCTCTCTGCCTCATGCTGTTGAAGATAAAGAGAACCGGCGGCACTCACAAGTTGTCCTCTGCCCCCCTTCAAATTCTGTGGCATGCATGCAATCATCCACATAGATAAATTAATGTTTAAAAAAGAAAAAGCATACACAATCTGATGCCGAGACTGTTAGCAGCACGGTGCACACTCCCTCACCAAAAGACCCTACACCAAACACAGCAAATGCCGCTCTCAGAGCCTGGGGGGCCGGCTCCATCTGAGTGAGCAGTACGGTGAGACCTGGAAGGACAGGATGGAAGTGCTCATTAGGTTTCATTCACTCAGAGGCACGCTCCTTTTCCTTGTTTTGTTTCGTATCTTGGAACAGGCTCTTACTATTGTAGCCCAGGTTAGCCTCAAGCTCACAGTCTTCTTGCCTCCGACTCCTGAGTGCTGGGATTACAGGTGTGTACCACTGTGCCTGGCCTCAGAAACACCATCTCTTGTTCAACCAACATGGCTTATTTTTATATTTACTAAGGAGAGAGAGGTCCGTGAGAATTGGGATCTGTGTGTGGACGCAAGTACCACTGGCAATGTGTGGCGGTAGGTCAGAAGACAGCTCAGAGTCTGTTCTCTCCAGCCTTTCACTTGGGTTCTGGAATCGAACTCCAGCTGCCAGGCCTGCCGAGCAAGCACCATTGCCTGCCGAGCCGGCTTGCTGGCCCAACACTATTTACTGAATGAATAACTAAATCCAGAACTTTACTATGACTAAACTGTTACAGGTCAGGCGTGGTGACCCACGTATGTAATCCCAGCATTGAAGGCCGCGGGCAGAAGATTACCGTAAATTTGAGGCTAGTTGGAATACACAGAGAATTCAAGATCATCCACCTCAAGGAACTAACACCCTACCCTGCCCTGCCCCACCCCAGGAAAAAAATGAGGAGGGGGAAGAAAGGAGGAAAATGTGATTTATTTTACTAGATTTAGCCTCACTTTCACATTCTGATTGTAGGATAACATTTAAAAGATTCTCTTCATTTAACATTTTATTTGTAATGATGATGCCAATCAAACCCATGGCATCACACGTGCTAGGTGAACGTTCTACCATTGATCTGCAACCCAGCCAACCATCGGGAGTTTTCAATGTGTTTTTTTCTTGTGATGTCCGTGAACATCTGTAGAACACAAACGTCTTAGCCGCTTTTGTTCCCACAGACTCTATCAAATAATAGACACCTGCACTTAGAGGCAGCTCCACACCTACCGAGAGTGAAGAAGGTGAAGACGATATTAGCAACCAAGTTGGCCAGGAGAGGCTGACTGCAGTACCGCGAGGATCTGGGCCTGAAAAGCAATTCACAGGCGGCGTCCTCCATCCATCACTGTGTCGGAGAAGGTACATCCACCCTCTTCATGCCCTAACTCCTTTAATCCCACCACTCGGGAGGCAGAGGCAGATCGATCTCTGTGAGTTCGAGGCCAGCCTGGTCTACAGAGCGAGTTCCAGGACAGACTCCAAAGCCACAGAGAAACTCTGTCTCGAAAAACCCAAACACACACACACACACACATACACCCAAAAGATTGTGACTCTATATGTTAAGCAAGTAGATTGTGTTTGCTTTGCTTCCTCAGTGGACAGTCTCTAGCCTCCACTGTTGTTAGTGAGTGGTCTCTATCTTCTACCGTTGTTAGTGAGTGGTCTCTAGCCTCCACTGTTGTTAGTGAATGATCTCTATCCTCCACTGTTGTTAGTGAATTGTCTCTAGTTTCCACAACTAAGCACTAGCGCTGAATCTGAATGGAACATCAGTTTGGAATCCAGTTGGCTGGTTGAGTGTTCCTCCTGCCTTGCCCTCAGCTCTGCAGACATTAGCTAACACTTAGGCCCTTGGGACTGGCCTCTAGGGAATCCATGATAGAGACATTGGTGTCTTCACTGTCTCCCATTTAATGGTCTTTTACACTGGAAGTAAATATTTGTGAAAAGTTAAACCTGATCTGTCCAAATCTCTGCAACCTTCACTTTACTGAAATTTTCAAGAATCCACCAATAATAGGAGCAGAAACCATGGGGCAGGCAGCAGTTAAGAGTGTAACAGGAATCCCAGGGAGCACCCGCCCCACCCCCACAGGTAAGGCCCTTCTGGGCTGAGACTCACCGCAGCAGCACATCGAACTGGAGCATCAGGGTGCCACTCCCAAACAGGAACACCATCACCTGTCTGCACAGCACAGGGACAGGGAGGTGCAGCTTAGGATTTCAAGGAACCACAGAGAGGGCTTTAAACCGGGCAAAAGTGAACTGCCGCGCACTCCACTTGCCTGGTGATACCCAGTGGAAAGCCAGTATCCAGCCCGCTGGGAAATCTGTAGGACTGGATCCTTTTACCTTAGTTAATGTTAGGAAACAACACACAAGTAGTAAGAAGTACTAATTCAAAGTAAGCATAGATAGAGAAACAAAACTATAAAAGTGAATATTTGAATTGGATAAATATATTGAATATCCTATATGCGTTATCTTATTTAATATTCACAAAGTTCTATAAGGTAACCACTATGCCCCCCTCCACCATTTTCTTTTTCTTTTTTTACAGTAGGGTCTCACTACATATTCGTGGCTGGCCAAAGACTCCAGTATAGACCAGGCTGGCCTTGAACTCAGCAGAAATCTGCCTGCTTCTGCCTTCTGCATACTGGGACTAAAGATAAGCACCACCACCCGCCACAAGAGTCAGTGCACACACGCACTTTTTAATTAATTTATTTATTTTAGACTAAATCTTACTATGTTCCCCAGGTTCTATTTGAACTCCTGGACTAAAGCAATCCTCCCGTGTCAGCTTGCTAAGTCCTGGGACTACAGGAACATGAAACCAAGACTTGGGTCCCCATTTTAAAAATGCAGAAACCAGGGTTCAGAAAATTTGAGTTGTTCAAGGACAGACAGCAGCAGTAAGTGAAACAGCTAGGATTCTTCCCACACCCCTGACAGCCTTCTACAGTTGGGAGCCATACCGACTGTGACTGATGAACCGAGATGGGAATTACTGCTGGCTGCTGCACACAGTAATCGTTAAATAATAACCCACCTCCTCCCCCACTAGTGTTTTCTCTTATTAACACGGATGAGGGCTGAATGACTCCAGGGTGTTCATAGAAAGCATTTGTTGATACCTTCAAAATCTATACTTTGCAAAACAGCTGCAGCAGCGTCAGGAAAAGGTATGGGTCTGTGCTTAAAGTTACTAGGTTGAAAGAAACAGCATCCTTTTAGAGGGTGGTGGAGAGAGGCGGTCTGACCGGGCAGGTCGTTTAACAGTGGCCAGCATGGCTCTAGACTGAGCATCTGAAAATGGGACAAGGACAGCCCGCCCAGCAGAGTCACAGTGCTCTTTGGAACAGTTGTAGCTGTGAGTTAATGCTTCCGTCATAGTATCTTTAAAACTCAAAAGATGGGTGATTTAGAAGCAAATTTTGGTTAGACTTGAAGACTGCCCCAGGAAGCAACGAGCCTTTGACACAGTGTGTTACAGAGGGTCACTTACAGCCTGAGCCGATGCGACCTCGGCAGCCAGCAGTGCAGGTGGTAGGCTGTGTGGACCAAACAAAAGTGAATCATGGCGACACTGGTCCGGTAGCGTTTAGAACAGTTCTCTCTGAGACTCCATGCCCATCCGTTACCTCCATGTTGGGACAGGTGACGACGTACGCGCTCGCTGTAACTTAACCCTTCTGTGACTTGGAGGGTCTAGCTGAGGTGGCTGAATTGATAAAGCCAGGATGGATATATGAGACAGGTCGCTGATGTGACAGAGGACAAAGACTTCCTCCTGTGTGCTGAGGGATCAGCTTCAGCCAGCCTCCTCATTCCCCAAGGGGACAGAAACCTGAGCTCCTCCCAGAGCACAGGGTGGGGCTGGGAGCATTTTGTTTCATCTCTGTTTCCAGACCCTAGGCAACTCCTTGACCCCCTCCACACCACGCCCTAGGCCTTACCTTCCTTCCACTCTGCTCTCCTTGGGGGCCTAGTGTCTAGATCCTGACTTGGGCGCGGGCGTGCTCAGCGCTAGCGTATACCCCGGTTCCCTAGGCCACAGTTCTATGGAGATGCTGCCTTTTCTTGATACAGGGTCTCCTGTAGCCCAGGCTGGCCTTGAACTTCTGACACTTCTGTTTCTTCCAGGTACTTCATATGGGAAGTGAATAGAGGTAACACCAGCAGAGATAGGCATAGGGAACCCTGGTTTTGTATGAGGAGTGAGAAGGGGGACATTGAAATCCCTACAGTATAACTCTTCTTCTCTTTTTTATTGTTGGAGGGTGGAGGAGAACACTACTGGAGAGTGAGCCTAGGGTACCCTGTGCCTGCAGGTGAGGCAGGCCCTGAGCCACTGAGCTGCAGCCCCAGCCTTAACTCGTTTAACAGTATACTTAATGTTCTGTCCATGCTCGGCGGTTTCTCTGTGTCTCTTGTTGTTTGGTTTTATTGGTTGATTGGAATGTGTGTATGTGAAGGTGCACATGTATGAATGTATGTATGTATGCATGCATGCATGCATGTGTGGAAGCCAGGGTCAGTATCTGGTGTCATCCTCAATAGCTGTCCACTTTACGTTTTGAAATAGGGTCTCACACAGAACTTAGAGCCTGTTGATTGAACTAGACTGGCTGCCTCTGTTTCCCCAAGGCTGGAGTTATAGGTGTGTACTACCAATCCAATGTGCATCCGTATATGAATTCTTGCATGTGTGTGTGTGAGTGAGTGCATGTGCTTATGCATAAGTGTGTATGTAAGTGTCTGTGTGTGTGTGTGTGTGTATGCTTGTAGAAGCCAGAGATCAGTGTTAGTAGTCTTTCTCAATCCCTCTCCACCTTATTCTAAGACAGCGTCTCTCAGTGAACCTGGAGTTTATCAATTTGGAGAGACTGGCAAGCCAGAGATCCCTCAACACCCTCCTGTCTGTGCCTAGCTTTTGCTTTGTTATATTTTTTCAAGATAGGGTTTCTTTGTAGCTTTGGAGCCTGTCCTGGAGCTCACAGAGACCCATCTGTCTCTGCCTCCCAAGTGCCAGGATTAAAGATGTGCACCACCATTGCCCTGCTGGTTTGTGGGACTGACAAGCACTTTACTGACTGGGCATCTCCCAGTCCTGTGGTTGTTGGGGTTTGTTTTGTTGTTATTTGTTTGTTTGTTTGAGGGGGGATTGGGAAGACTTGGAGGTCTTGGTCTCTTGTCCAGGCTCCTCTCAGAGCCTTGTCCCAGCCCCCAAGCAGCTAGAACTCTAGGGGACTGTGGTTTGAGGGCCTCAGACATGCTTATCTTGGTTCCCACTGACTACATCATTGTTGCTCAACTTGTTTCTTTAAGAGTTATATAAATTACCTTTTTTTTTCTATGCAGACAATTGAACACCTTATAAATGTTAGGCAAGTGTTCTTTCACTTAGCTATATCCCTGTAAATGGAATTTCTTTCCAGCCTGGTCCCACAGCCAATTAGTCCCAAATAAGCACAGAGACATATTAATTCTAAACTGTTGGTTTGGCTGATGGCTCAGGCTTCTTATTATCTAGCTCTCTCTTATTAACCCATTTATATTAATCTAAGTATTTCCAAGTAGTCTTATCTTACCAGAGAAGGGTCCAGACCTGTTACCCCTTCCTTGGCTACGGGCATCTCCTTGCGGCCTCTCTCTGCTTCCTCTCCCCAGCCTTCTCCTTGTCTTGTAGCCCCACCTATACTTCCTGCCTGACTACTGGCCAATCAGTGCTTTATTCATCAACCAATAAGAGAAACATATACATAGTGGACATTCCCCCATCATATCCCCAAACCCAAGTGACATCCATCATTAAATATTCATTTCTGCTTGTAACTCAGGAGCACCTGAGAGTTTGCTGGTCATGTGCTTCTGGTGTCAACTGGGCTTGCTGAGGGAATAAGCATCTTGGCTGTGGTTTGGCTGTGGCTTGGCTGTGGTTTGGCTGTGGCTTGGCTGTGCCTTGGCTGTGGTTTGGCTGTGGCTTGGCTGTGGTTTGGCTGACCTCTGATGGCTGCAGTCACATATTGAGAGGTCAGCTGTCTTACCAGCACTGGGGTGGCTGGGATACAGCTGTCATCCCACAGCAGTCTAGCACGGTAAAGGACTGGCATTTTTGCTATAGTTTAGGTGTGGTCTGAGTGTTTCTTCAGAAGTCCCCATGCTGTGTGGCTGAGGTAGCTCCTTCAGGATGTGCCTAGTGGAAAGCAAGGAGGTCACGAGGGTAAATTGGTTTTCAGAAAAGCAGGTTTTTCTTTTGTTTGTTTGTTGGTATTTTCTTTTTTTTTTTTTTTTTGGTTTTTGGTTTTTGGTTTTTCGTGACAGGGTTTCTCTGTATTGTTTTGGAGGCTGTTGGCTCTGTAGACGAGTCTGGCCTCGAACTTGCAGAGATCCACCTGCCTCTGCCTCCCGAGTGCTGGGATTAAAGATGTGCGCCACCAACGCCCAGCTTTGTTGGTATTTTCTGAGGCAGGGTTTCTCTGTGTAGTCCTGGCTGTCTTAGAACTTGCTCTGTAGATCAGGCAGCTTCAGAGATGTGCTTGCCTCTGCCTCCCGAGTGCTGGGATTAAAGATGTGCGCCTTGTTTCAAAGTTAGGCTGCGCCATAGGGTTGACCCTTTCTGAACAGAACATGAATTCTAGTTTTTCTTAATAATAAAACTCCTGGGCCAGGCGTTGGTGGCGCACAACTATGATCCCAGCACTTGGGAGGCAGAGGCAGGAGGATCTTTGTGAGTTCGAGACCAGCCTGTGCTACAGGTCAAGTTCCAGGACAGCCAGGGCTGTTACACAGAGAAACAATATCTCTAAAAAACAAAACAACAACAAAAACAACTTGGAGTCAACTATCAGGGGTGAAAGCTAAAAGATCAGAGAAGCAGAGCGGCCAGCCTCTAGAGAGTTCTTACCTCACCAGTGCTCAGACCGAAGAGACAATCCTGTCTCTACGAATCTCAGATTGCCCAAGCTCCTGTCTCTTCCCGCCTTATATCCCGTTCTCTGCCCAGCCATATCACTCCTATCTCCACCTCCTTAGTCCTGGGATTAAAGAAGTGTGACTCCAAGTGCAGGGATCACCTTTGTATGAGCTCTGTTTCTCTTTTAGGCAAATTCATTCTCGTGTAGTCCATGATGACCTCGAACTCACAGAGATCCATCTGCCTCTGTCTCCCGAGTGCTGGGATGAAAGGTGTGTGCCACCACTGCCTGACCACTATGTCTAACTAGTAGTTTAGCTCTGCACTCTGATCTTCAGGCAAGCTTCATTTGTTAGAGCCGAAATAAAACATCACCACAGGACTGGTTCATTTTCTCTTTTTCCAACATGTTGTGATGCAGCCAGGCTAACTTCTTAGGCCTATGGAATCTCTTTTCTTTAAAATGTACCCAGCCGCAGGGCATTAGTGACACACATCTTTAATCCCAGCACTCGGGAGGCAGAGGCAGGAGGATCTTTGTGAGTTCGAGGCCAGCCTGGTCTATAAGAGCTAGTACCAGGACAGCCTCCAAAGCCACAGAGAAACCCTGTCTCAAAAAAAAAAAAAAAAAAAAAAAAGAATGTACCCCGCCTTAGTCAGTCATGGTAACAAACATGTAATCCCAGCACTCGGAATGTAAAGGCAAGAGGATCAGGAGTTCAAAGGTGTCCTTCACTACATTCCAGTTTTAGGCCATCCTGAGTTACGAGACCTTGTTGCTCTCCTCCTGTGTCCCTCTCCCACATTCTGGAATTAGAGGCCTGCTGTCCTCTAGCATGTTATTATATGTTACTGTAACAAAAACCTCTAGGATTGCCGGGCGTTGGTGACGCACGCCTTTAATCCCAGGACTCGGGAGGCAGAGGCAGGCGGATCTCTGTGAGTTCGAGGCAAGCCTGGTCTACAAGAGCTAGTTCCAGGACAGCCTCCAAAGCCACAGAGAAACCCTGTCTCAAAAAAACAAAACAAAAAACAAATAAAAAAAAAAAACCTCTAGGACTGGCCGGGCGTTGGTGGCGCACGCCTTTAATCCCAGCACTCGGGAGGCAGAGGCAGGCGGATCTCTGTGAGTTTGAGACCAGCCTGGACTACCAAGCGAGTTCTAGGACAGCCTCCAAAGCCACAGAGAAATCCTGTCTCGGAAAAAAAAAAAAAAAAAAAAAAAAAAAAACCTCTAGGATTATAGTGTCTTCAGAGTGCTAGGCCCAGAACTAATGTGCTGTCTTTTCTGTCATAATCACCCAAGCAAAGTGGCCCATCAGGAATAGAGAGTTACATCCCGTCCCACTCAGTAGGAACTGCACGCCCATAGACAAACGCAGGCAGGGAAGCCAGTTTCCCAGGTCATGTCAGTCTGCGAAGCCAAGTATTTTGCCCACCTGTTTGCAGGGAGAACATGGGTGGATGTCAGGAGATCTGTAAATGAGCTTGTTTCCTTTTTCCTTTGTAGACAACAGTGGTGTCAGAGGTCTCCATGTAGATCAGCGACTCCCACTTTTCGCCATGGACACATCCGGGAAGACGGAAGTGGTTCTCCTGGCCTGTGGCTCTTTCAACCCCATCACCAACATGCACCTCAGGCTGTTTGAGCTGGGCAAGGACTACATGAACGCAACAGGTAGGAGCAGCAGCCCGCCTTGAACCCCAGCACTCAGGAGGCAGAGGCAGGAGTATCTCTGTGACCTGGAGGCCAGACTGGTCTACAGAGCGAGTTCTAGGACAGCCAAGGCTACACAGAGAAACCCCGTCTTCAAAATACAAAAAACAAAACAAGAAAAAGACTAGAGATGCACTTGACTGTTTGAGTATGAATGCCTGATCATGGACCCAAGCAAGTTGTTCTGTTCCCTGGTGTAGAGATTTAGCCAAAGAAAGGTTAATGGAGCCAGTGAGGTGGCTCTTGGGGAAAGTCCTTGTTGCAGAGTAGGTAGCAAGAGGGTGTAAATGAAGCTGCACGTCCTTCATCCCAGCTCCCAGCACTCGGGATTCTGAGCCAGGCGGATTCTGTGAGTTCCACACCAGCCTGGTCTACAGAGCGAGCTCTGGACTATACAGAGAGACCTTGTATGGGAAAAGAGAAAGAGGAGGAGGTGTGCCTAGCATAAGAGGAGGGCAGGACTGCAGACAGTCAAGGAAGTGCGTGCTTGATGTTGCCAGGCACCGAGATGAGGATCCAGGACCCTGCGTCTGTTCTAGGTGACAGTGCAAATGGAGTCAGGCTTCTGACAAGGAATTCAGCAGTTTCGGTTGGAATTCTGACCAGCAAGAATTTTAAGTGTAAGCCGTGTGGGCGAACCCAGAGTGAGTACATTAGGGGTGTAGGGCTTTAGTTGGAGAAGGTGGTAGTTGTGAAGTTTGTGTAACAGTGTGCATGTGCTCAACACTTGAGGATTGTACAGTTAAAGTACTTTAAATGATAACTTTTATAATATGCCATTACAGGTTCTTTTTTAATTTAAAAACTGTATTTACAGCTGGGTGGTGGTGGTGCATGCCTTTAATCCCAGCACTCAGGAGGCAGAGGCAGGTGGATCTCTGTGAGTTCGAGGCCAGCCTGGTCTACAGAGTGAGTTCCAGGACAGCCTCCAAAACAATACAGAGAAACCCTGTCTCAGAAAAACAAACAAAAAGCTGTATTTACTTCCATGTGCGGTGTTGTGTGTGACATGTGTGCATGAGGAGGAGGTCAGGTGGAGAAGTCTGGTCTCTCCTTTCACCATGAGAGTCCTGGGGATTGAACTCAGATCATCAGTCTTGACAGCACACTCTTTACCAATTGAGCCATCTTGCCAGACCCTCACCACAGCTTCAGTTAGCTACTAAATTTGACTCTTTGTTTAACTATGAACTAATTAATTGTTATACTTTCTGTCCATAAAATCTGACTTGTTATCCCTCATATCAACCCAACTCTTTATCCAGGAAAATACAGAGTCATCAAAGGCATAATTTCACCTGTTGGTGATGCGTACAAGAAGAAAGGACTCATCCCTGCCCACCACCGAATTATCATGGCAGAGCTCGCCACCAAGAATTCACACTGGCTGGAAGTGGACACGTGGGAGAGTCTTCAGAAGGAGTGGGTGGAGACTGTGCAGGTGCTCAGGTAACAGTGGGGTGGGCCTGTGTGCCCAACTGGAAAGTCCCTGGAGACCACCGGGAAGACAGACCCACTAAACGGCAAGAGCCAGGTTTAATGACTGCTCATCCACCCATGACAGGGCCCCGTCTGGCCAGCTGTCCCAGCAGCCTCCAGGGGGAGTGAAGCTCCCTGTCTACGGTTAGGTTTTATAGACAGAAGTTACAGGATGACAGCAGTAGGTACGGGTTGGTTTCTGATTGGTTGACATTTGGGAACAACTAGGAGCATTTCTCAAAGTCATATTTTGGCATAAAATACCTGTGTACCAGTTATTTTCATTGATCAGTGCTGAGAGGGAACATTCTGTGGTTTCTATGGCATTGTCTTGTTACTTGCAGGTGGCCTGTTGTACATAGATATCAATAGTTTTTAGAACTGTATCCTGGAGTCTACAGGGGAGGTTTTGGTCCCCCCTAGAGTTTCTTTTGTGGCCAAACAGTTCCCAGGAACTAAGCATCTAGGAGGCTGGAGCTGGGGGGGGAGGGGACACACGTGTCTGGAGTTTCTTTGTGTTCAGTTTTGGCCCTAGGCTCTGGGAGGCCAGAGGATCTGGAGTTTCCTTGTGTCAGAGGCCTATGTGTCTTTTCTGTAGCCTGTCATGGCTGCTAAAGCAGGGGCTGAGTGAGGGTCTGGTCCTTTGTTTCTGAATTATTAGAAGTGAAGCCTCTGAGTTTAGTTTACCCCTTTCAGTCCACACCACTGGTTCTAGGGAAGGGAGAGGGGTCCTTCCCATTGCCATGGTTTCAGTCCGCCTGCATCTGACTGACAGGTCCGTATCTTAGTGTCCCGTTGTTGAGAAGAGAAACCATGACCCAGGCAATGCTTATAAAAGAAAGCATTTCCTGGGGGCAGGTTTACGGTTTCAGAGGCTTAGTTCATTATCATCCCTGCAGGAAGCACTGTGTCACACGTTGTGCCCGAACTGAAGGAACAGTAGCTGAGAGCTATGTTCTGATCAGCAGGCCAGGAGAGACACTCAGGCCTTGGCAGAGGCTTTTGAACGGCAAAGCCCACCCCCAGTGACACAGTTCCTCTAAAAAGGACGCACCTTCTAACCGTTCTAATCCTAACAAATTGTGCCTGTCCCCATGACTAAGCCTGTGAATATGTGAGCCTGGGGGCCATTCTGGTTCAAACCACCACGGAGGGTTGCACCTTCCTCCATAGGCTGCACCTTCCTCCACAGGCTGCACCTTCCTCCACAGGCTGCAAAGCTCAGCCGCAGAGTGCAGAGACACCTAAGCCTGTGGTGAGATGCAGACAAACACGGTTGTTCCTCAGACACACCTGTCAGAGAGTAAAGGAAGCAAGCCTGGCCTTCCTGTCTGACAGAAGAAAGACAGAGTTCCTCAAGGATAGAGTAGTCATCTGTTCTTTCTTTTTTTGGGGGGGGGTTGAGGCAGGGTTTTTCCGTGTAACTGGAACTCTCTCTGCAGACCAGGCTGACCTCGAACTCAGAAATCCACCTACCTCTGCCTCCCCTGAGCTCTGGGATTAAAGGCGTGTCCAGCTAGTCATCGGTCTTCTTAGGAGTGGGAGAGGGAAGGGCATGGATTAAACGGGAGGTTAGAACATGGGCCTAACCTAAAAGACAGTGACCCTTTAAAAAGGCCAGGACACACAGCCTAAAGAAATGAAGTGAAGATTCCCTGCAGTCTGTGCTGGAGAGATGGCTCAGAGGTTAAGAGCGCTGGATGCCCCCAAAGGTCCCGAGTTCAATTCCCAGCAACCACATGGTGGCTCACAACCATCTATAACAAGATCTGGTGCCCTCCTCTGGTGTTCAGATATACATGCAATGCAGGCAGAATACCGTATATATAATAAATAAATAATTAAAAAAAATAAAAAGACTCCCTGCAGTCTGAGATGTGACTTGACAGTTCTCACCTTAAGATTCTGGTTCTTCTGTGCTCTTTCTCACTGTGTTAAATTAAACCAGATGATGTGAAAATTCCTGCCAGCCCACTCCCAAACTTATAAATGTGAGCTTTTCTTTGTTCTTGGGATTTGCTCAGGGAAGTGCGCTGAATGTTCTGAGGAGGTTCCTCTGCCCCCACACCCCTCACAGCAGTACAAGCTCTCTCTCTCTCTCTCTCTCTCTCTCTCTCTCTCTCTCTCTCTCTCTCTCTCTCTCTCTCTGCCTCTCCCTCTCTCCCCCTCTCCCCTCCTCCCTCTCTCTAGTTTTTCTTTTTTTTTTTGAAGATTTATTTATTTATTATGAATACAACATCATGCCTCCATGTATGTCTGCACGCCAGAAGAGGGCGCCAGATTTCATTACAGATGGTTGTGAGCCACCATGTGGTTGCTGGGATAGAACTCAGGACCTCTGGAAGAGCAGTCAGTGCTCTTAACCTCTGAGCCATCTCTCCAGCCCCTCTCTCTAGTTTTTCAAGACAGGGTTTCTCTATATTAACAACCCTGGCTGTCCTGGAACTTGCTCTGTAGACCGGGCTGGACTTGAACTCACAGAGATCCACCTGCCTCTGCTGCCAAACTCTGGGATTAAAGGCAGGCACCACTACTCCCCGGCCTTGTCAAATTTAACAAGGAGTGTCAGACAGGCTCCAGCCCAACCTTGTGGTACTTTCAGGAGCGCACAGGAGGCTCTCCAGATGTCTGTGCTCGAACTTTTGAAACCAGTGAAGGAAGCAACATCTAACCGTCTCTTTATAATCGTGAGAGTGAATGGAGGGGCTAATGCCTGATCTTAGATTCTCAGTCCTCCAAACTGGCTGAATAAGGAAGAGGTCAGAGTAGGACACGGAGGCCACTCTGGACACTTTGAGTGCAGTGTGCTTGGATGTGAGGTCCATGTGTTAAAGAGACCGGAGACACCAGAGTGGCTTTTGCCCAGTCAGAGCAGGACCTGATCTGCTCCCACTGCCCTGTGACTGTTGAGATCACAGACAGAAGGCACTAGGCCTTGAGCTGTGGGTCATGGAGGATGCCACAGTGTGACAGCAGCTTCTGTCGTACAGGACTCTTTGCTGGTCTTATTCACAGAATCTCAGCAACACTGGAAATTTCCATGAGGAACTCTGGCTAGTGTTAGGGTAGGACAGGGCATTGAGCCAGGAGGTGGCAGCTACCTGGATATATCAGAACTCCTTTTAGGTTTAACTGGAAAATGGTCTCCCTGCTGATGGTAAAACTCCCTGGGAGGCCATGATCTTGTTTTGGCCCCACGGAACCTTGGATTTCTCTGACCTCATGGTCACTTGGATCTCTGTGGCCCCATGGTAACTTGGATCTCCATGGTAACTTGGATCTCTCTGGTCCCATGATAACTTGGCTCTCCCTGGCCCCATGGTAACTTGTATCTCTCTGACCCCATGGTAACTTGGATCCCCATGGTAACTTGTATCTCTCTGGTCCCATGATAATTTGGCTCTCCCTGACCCCATGGTAACTTGTATCTCTCTGGCCCCATGGTAACTTGGATCTCCATGGTAACTTGGATCTCTGTGGCCCCATGGTAACTTGGATCTCCATGGTAACTTGGATCTCTCTGGTCCCATGGTAACTTGGATCTCTTGCACATTCAGTTGACTGTTCATTGGGGGAAGGAATTAAGGGCATGAAGGGCCGGCCCACTGTGGGTCTAAAGGTGAGGTCCATATTGCTGGAGTAGCTTTGCACTGATATAAGGAAGTGCAACTCTGCTGCCAGCCCAACTCCTACAGTGCTGCTTTCCATGCACGCGCCCCTCAGTCCCTGCCCTTGCCTTGTGATTCTTCATTCCAAGATCAGGCCATGGTCTTTAGTGGTCAGGGGGTTGGTCCTGGACCAGACAACTAGACTCAAATCCAGTTCTGATAAACATAAGCTTAATCAGCTCTGCTCTCAGTGGGGCTGACAGACAGCAGTAGAGGCCGACAGTAAGTAGTGACTGCTCTGTCGGTTGATGGATGTCGAGAGCTCTGTTCAGGTGGACCTGCAACCCTTCTGTTCTTGTTTTGTCTGTTTCTGAGACAGGGTTTCTGTGTGTGGCCCTGGCTGTCCTGGAACTCACAGAGATTCACCTGCCTCTGCCTCCAGAGTGCTGTGTTTAAAGGTGAGAGCCACTTCTGCCTGGCCTTGGACTGCAACTCTTAGTCTCCGCTTTCCTCTCCATTGCAAGGCCAGCACTTCTCATAACCTAAGAAGCTGAGGAGATTGGGTCAGATGCTTGTGGAAAGGAATAATTACCATTAACTCTCACTGCTGCAACACACACAATACTTCAGAGAGCACTCTAACATCAAAGAACGTTCTTTTAAAATTTTATCTATTTATTTAATGTACGTTGGTATTTTGTGTACATGTATGTCTGTGTGAGAGTGTCAGAGTCCCTGGAACTGGACAGTTGTGAGCTACCATGTGGGTGCTGGGAATTGAAGCTGGGTCCTCTGGAAAACAAGCAGTGCTCCTGACCACTGGGCCATCTCTCCAGCCCCCAAGGAACATTCTTTTGTGCTGTCATTTTGTAGACACCATCAGGAGAAGCTGGCAACTGGCAGCTGTGATCACCCACAACGCTCATCTGAGCTGGACAGACCCGGGCGGAAGAGGAAGTGGGATGAACAAAAACAGGACGCTAGCCCAAAGAAACCCCAAGAGCCAAAGCCAACAGGTTGGTGATGTTGGACCAGGATCCAAAGGTTGCTCAGGCTCTACATCTGAGACCCTTTGGTACTTTATTTCTTCTTCCACACCTGCTGGGTTGCTGATGATTGAAGGAAGGATGGAATGGTTCTGGGGTAAAACAGTAGATCTGCCTCCTTGCACACACGGTCACTTTAATATGGGTGATTGTTGGGGCAGCAGTGGCACATGCCTTTAATCCCAGCACTCGGGAGACAGAGGCAGGAGGATCTCTGTGAGGTCAAGACCAGCCTGGTCTACAGAGTGAGTTCCAAGACAGCCAGGACTGTTACAAAGAGAAACCCTGTCTTGAAAAAAAAAAAAAAGAAAACAAAACCTGAAGCTCTGTTTGGTTCTTCCTTCCAGGTGTGCCCAGGGTGAAATTGCTGTGTGGGGCAGATTTACTGGAGTCCTTCAGTGTGCCCAACTTGTGGAAGACTGAGGACATCACCCAAATCGTGGCCAACTACGGGCTCATATGTGTCACTCGAGCTGGCAGTGATGCTCAGAAATTCATCTATGAGTCTGATGTGCTGTGGAGACATCAGAACAACATCCACCTGGTGGATGAATGGATCACCAATGACATCTCCTCCACCAAGATCCGGAGAGCTCTCAGAAGGGGCCAGAGCATCCGCTACTTGGTCCCCGACCTTGTCCAAGAGTACATTGAAAAGCATGATCTGTACAACTCCGAGAGTGAAGAAAGGAATGTTGGGGTCATTCTGGCACCTCTACAGAGGAATGTCTCCCAGAACAAGCACAGCAATCCCACAGCATGATGCTGTGCATGACATCAGATGCTTTTTGTGGAGATTCAAATCAACCGGTGTTAGTAACCCAGGAAGGGAATTTCCATCCTGTTTTGTAAGCTGAAGTTTAAAAGTTTGATTAAAAACCAACAGTAAATTAAGGTCAGTTGCTAAATGAATGCTTTAAATAAGGCATTTTTTAAAAGAATAATTCCTTTTTAAAATAACAGCTCATTCACTACAATGAAATTTCAGTGATGCTCACTCTAAGTTTTTCAGGAACAACACTATGAGTACCTCACAGCAGAAGCAGATGTGAGGAGCAAGTCCACTCAAAAGCTTCCCTTCAGGGGCTGGAGAGATGGCTCAGAGCACTCGATGCTCTTCCAAGGGATCCAGGTTCAATCCCCAGCACCCACACAGCAGCTCACAACTGTCTGTGACTCTCGTTTGGGGATGCCTGATGCCCTCTCTGGCCTCTGGGCTCCAGGAACACACATGCTGCACAGACATACATGCAGGAAAACACCTACACACAAAGAAAGTCTCACCTTAGCCAGGACAGCGATGTGTGCCTGTAACCCAAGCTGCTCCAGGAGCTGAGGTAGCAGAATCACTTTGAACCCAATTAGAGATGACACTAGACAACACAGACTCTTACTAAGAGACAAATAAAACAAAATGCTAGCTTTAGTTATGCAGAGAACTGATAACGCTGTTTGTGCTTGGTGCTAGCCATCTTTATCCAGGATGGACGGGGAAGGAAGTCTTTACAATGTGACCTTGACTATGGACGTAGCTCAGTTGGTGGAGCACTGGCCCAGCAGGCCTAAGGCCCTGCGTTAAATTACCAGTACCACATAACTGGGCATGGCAGTGCACGCCTGTAGTCCAGTACTCAGAGCATGGAAGCAGAAGGATCAAAAGTTCAACGTCATCCTTGACAACCAGCAAGTTTGAGACCATCAAGGGATGCTGGAGACCCTGTCTCTAAATAAAGAAGTGGCCCTGTAAAACACACCAGTGACCAGTGGTTTTCCAGCTTTGCAAATGGAGGCTGTGAGTACACCTGGAAGAAGTCAGACTATGCCACAGTTCTCCTTGCTCCACACTGGAATAGCTGGCTAAAGGGATGGTGAGATGGCGCAGTGGGCAAAGCTACCTGCTGCCAAGTCTTACGACCTGAGTTCAAGTCCCGGGACCCACAGCGTAGCAAGAGAGAACCCATTCCCAAAAGGTATCTGACCTCCACATGAGATAAATAAAAAGAGTAACTGGCTAAACTTTGTCCAGATGTGGTTGCTTGAAACCTATCTCTGGGGGGAGGGGGTGGGGCCAGGCTCTGCTGTAAGTATTTTCTTAGCAAAGCTTTGTTACTGACCCATCGACATCTTTTTGTTGTTGTTGTTGGGTTTTTTTGTTTGTTTGTTTTTTCGAGACAGGTTTCTCTGTGGCTTTGGAGCCTGTCCTGGAACTCGCTCTTGTAAACCAGGCTGGTCTCAAACTCACAGAGATCCACCTGCCTCTGCCTCCAGAGTGCTGAGATTAAAGGCGTGCGCCGCCACCATGCCCTTCACCCTTATTTATAATTTTATAATTAGGGATGAGCGAAGCTCTCGAGAACATGAGGGATGGACTGGGTCAGCCCCAGCCGCTCTTCCTGCCGTGAACTTGGAGCCAATGCTGTTTTGTGGAAGAAAGCTCCGTGCTCCATCTGAAGCCGTCAAGTTTCTGAAGACCTGTGGCCTCTGTCTCAGCACCATGTGAGCCTGCATCACCTGAACCTATGCAGAGAAAGGGTCTCCCGCCTCACACTTTTTCTGGTTCTGTTTCTCTGACATAATAACTGAAATCACAGCCTTTTGTTAAAAACACAAAATTGGCCGGGCCGTGGTGGCGCAAGCCTTTAATCCCAGCGCAAGCCTTTAATCCCAGCACTCGGGAGGCAGAGGCAGGCGAATCTCTGTGAGTTCGAGGCCAGGCTAGACCGACAGCTTCCAAAACAATACAGAGAAACCCTGTCTCATAAAACCCAAAACAAAAAACAAAAACACAAAATTGTTATATGATTTGTTACAGATTGAAATTTTACAGGAATTGGCCGCCACACTTTTTTTTTCCAGTTAGGATCTTTTCCTGGAAAACATAGTTGGTGGTGCAGTCTGCAGGGTCAGGTCATCCCTGAGTTGTGTGTACAGCCAGGAGGGGATGATGGGGACCAAGGACCATGGGCCATAGTGTCTGCTGGGGTCCTCATTCCCCAGGAGCCAGCCCTCCATACCCTGCGCTGCCGTTGGCAGGAGCAGGTCCAGGACAGAAATGACTCACTAGCAGTCTGAATATAGTGTGCATGGTACCCCCAGAAATCTGCCCTCCTGGGCTTCTGCCATCTTTAAGGGAGTTCTGGAATGATCCCTGGAGGTCTTTCCCAAAGTCAAATCCATGTGAGAATTTAATGGAGAAGTAACTAGCGTGGCAAACACCACATGGTAGGAAAGGCTCAACTTGGCTCCTACCGGCCATCACCCAGGGTATCTCTGACTCGGCATCTTTGGGAACCTCACTAGGTGTCTGAGACACATCTGATGTTCCTGTTTCTAGCAGCCACCAGAGAAGGGGGTAGTGCTGGGTCAGTGTGGTCAGAGAGTCCCACCAGCAGGACCTTCTCCGGTCTCTGCATTGAGGCTGCCACACACATTTTTAAAACAAAGGTCGGGGATAGCCTTTTATGAGATATAGACCAGAGACGACTGTTTATGTTTTATGAAAATGGTCTTGCAGGGCTGGAGAGATGTCTCAGTGGTTGAGAGCACTGGCTGCTCCTCCAGAAGTCCTGAGTTCAATTCCCAGCACCCACATGGTGGCTCACATGCCATCTTCTGGCATAAAGTCATACATGTAGACAGAGGACTCATAAACAAACTAGTAAATAAATAAAATATTTTTTTAAAAGAAAATGGTCTTGCACTCAGTACAGGGGTAAAGTCAAGCTCTTGAACTGGACATGGTGACACACACTCATAATCTCAGCATTTGGTTGACTGGAGAAGGTCACCTGCACAATCGTGGTTTCAGGCCACAAGTAACTCTGTTTCAACATGAACAAAAGAGCTAAATTCCTGCCGGCATTGGTGGAGCATGCCTTTAATACCAGCACTTGGGAGGCACAGGCAGGCAGATCTCTGAGTTCAAGACCAGCCTGGTCTACAGAGCAAGTTCCAGGACAGCCTCCAAAACAATACAGAGAAACCTTGTCTCAAAAACCAAAGTAAATAAATAAATAAATAAATTCCTAATGAAAGTCGGATAATTTACCTTTTAAATGTTTGAGATGCAGATCTCAGGATACAGACCAGGCTGGCCTAGAACTCACAGAGATCTGTGTGCCTCTGACTCCCAAGTGGCCCAGTTCACCTTTGGAATTCATGTTTTATACTTGCCCATCTAGAGGAAGACTTTGTACTGGTACAGAAAAAAAAAAGTAATTATGCAATGGTCTTGTCAGATCTGAATCTGACAGTCAGGAGAAGAAATGTTTACTTATCTTATTAAAGCCATCCATCAACTGTCAAAGACACATGGAAAGCCTCAGTCCCCACTGGCTGAACGTGTGGATGGCCACGTCTCAGATGGCAAAGATAGGGATCTCTTCCCCGTTGTTTTGGAGCTGAAGAGCTGGGGCAGGACTGAATAGTAATAGCTGAGCCATCAGTCCTAACGCTGGCAGAGCACACACAGGTCATCTCGTGTGCCGTGTACCGTAAGGTTCTAGTGTTCTAACCTGACCTTAGACCTTAGTGTGTCCTCTTTGGAGGTGTTGGAACCCTGCTACTTTATGGTCACCTCAGGACCCACTGGGCAAGGCATGCGGGGCCCTCCCAGGAAGCTGCTTACAATGCAGCCACGTACTAGGTTAATTGAGGGATGTCCTCAAGGCCAGAAGTTCCTCTCTGGATAATGGAAATTACAGGGGTTTTTTTCAATTTATTTTTTTATCTATGGGTGTTTTGCCTGCATGTATGGATGTCTGTGTACCAAGTGTGTGTGTGGTACCCGAGACACCAGAGAAGGCAATGGATGTCCCAGAACCAGTTACAGATGATTGTGAGCTGCCATGTGGTTGCTGGGAATTGAACCTGGGTCCTCTGGAAGAGCAGCCATTGCTCTTCAGCTCTGAGCCATCTCTTCAGCCCTGGAAATTACAATCATCGTGCCTTCCCTTAAGGGAAAAGAGAATCTGCCACTAGTTAATCCTGATCACATCTGTTAGTACTCAGGCACCTGTACTGGCCTGCCCATAGGGTTCTGACAGGGTACACCCTCAGCCACTGCCACTAGGAACACCGCCTGTGCCTATGCACTATGTTCCCTCTTAAAAGGGCCCTGCCCACCTCCCATCCTCCTCTCTTTCTCTCCCTCTGCCTATTTCTCCCTCTCTCTCTCCGCCATTTTCCCTCTCTCCTGCTGCTCCTGTCTCCAGAGGCTGGTCTTTCCCCTCCCTTTTTTATGATCCCTTTCCCTAATTAAAAAACCCCTCTGCTTGAACCCTGTCCTATGGTGTCTTTCCCTTCTCGTGCTGCTTTTCTTAAATTATAACAGCATCTTTTCATAGTTTGTTTTGTCATGTGAACTTGGAGTTTAGAGACTGTGTGGAGCATCCATTTTCTTTTGTTTGGTGCTGGTGGATTTTATGTCTTTATCCATCGTATTGAATAACTTGAGTACAGCAAATGAAATTCCTTCCCTGACCTGCTCATTGAGAGGTTAATAACACATAGAGCCTTTAGATTATCATTTACCATGTAAACAGCAAACTTGCTGGGTACAGAGTGTGGTTCCCATGGTAATGTATTGTAGGGATTGCTCCAAAGGGATGACTGATTCATCCAAGTCAGAGGATACAGTTTGTTCCTTGTTGCCTAGGCTCCCCCTGTCTGATCCATTTCTCTGAGAGCCCAACAGCCATTCTGTCATGACACAGGATCCTCTAACTTTTCTTCAGGGTACTATTTCTCCACAGTTCTCAAAATTGTTTCCCAAGGCCTCCATCTACACCCAACACGCTCAGTAGTGTCCATCTCTGGAGTCCACACTCCTTGTACTGATAGCACCACATAGACTTCACAGTGCCCAAACCTAATGAGCACTTACGTGTGCTGGGTACGTTCTACTGTGTCCTTACATCATAAAGAATCTGAGTGCAGGTTGGAGAGATGGCTCAGAGGTTAAGAGCACTGGCTGTCCTTCCAGAGGTCCTGAGTTCAATTCCCAGCAACCACATGGTGGCTCCGAACCATCTATAGTGATATCTGGCGCCCTCTTCTGGAGTGCAGGTATACAACTAAACCTTTGTGTTGCACCTGCTGAGCAGCCTGTATCCGAGAATGTGGCGAGGATTGATGACACAGGGACCGGTTGGTTGCGTTAAGAAAACTTTATGCTCCCCAAGTCAGTTTAGGAGAACCCGCAAGAAAAAACGCTTCCCTTTTTAAAGACTTCTGCCATCCATACACACACAATTCTCCAACCGAGCTCTCACACACCTCTCACAGCTCTCACAGACTTCTCACCCTCCTGGCTGGTGGTTAAATCTCCAGCACCAGAATGGGGAGAAACAGCAGGGAGCAGGAAGAAGCAGCTAGCCATAGGGGGGATCAAAGTCATGGTGTTTCAGTGAGTGAGCCCTATCAGGAGCTTTATGGCACTGAATTGTTTTCAGTAAACATGTTTTCAGTAAACATTATCTTGCAGCTGCCTGCTCCCAGGCTGATGGAGGGGTGGGTTTCTGGCCAGGGTCTGTGATCCCCACACCTTTGTATTTCTCAACCTTATAAACTTTACATTTCTTTTTTTTTCTTTTCTTCAAAAAAGTGTTTTTCTTGTGAGGAGGAGAGGGAGAGGGAACTTGGATTAACATGTAAAACAAGCTATTTAAAATTAAAATAATAACCAAAAAAGAAAGTGTTTTTCTGTGTGCAGCTCTGGCTGTCCTGGAACTCACTATGTAGACCAGGCTGGCCTCCAACTCACAGAGGGCTGGGATTAGAGATGCGCCGCCACGCCAGGCGTTGGTGGTGCATGCCTTTAATTCCAGCACTCGGGAGGCAGAGGCAGGCGGATCTCTGTGAGTTCGAAGCCAGCATGGTCTACAGAGCGAGTTTCCAGGACAGCCTCCAAAGCCACAGAGAAACCCTGTCTCGAAAAAACCAAAAAAAAAAAAAAAAAAAAAAAAAAAGAGAGAGAGATGTGCTGCCACAGGGATGCACCACCATTGCCCAACAAC